TTTTTTTTTTTTGATATATAAGGTAACAAATCACCTGATTTTTGGGTATTAAGAACGCAATTGATAATTGTTACAATGTCGGCTGATTAATTGTATAAATATTTTTTTTTCGCTTTTTCTTTTTCTTTTTCTTTTCGTAGCCATATACATTGTGATAACTTCCCTCAAAGCTCGGTATTGTTGATAAACATTGATTTAAACTCCAACAATACACAGTCTTATCTCGATATATAAGAAAATTAATAACTGATTACTTGTTTCTGATGGTTCCCTTTTTCAAATAGGTTAACAAAATAACAGATTGTGTTGATATTTTATAAAAATCTATCATTACAAAATCATATTAAAAAATAATTGATAGCTTATAAAAACTCACAGTATAAATATATACGAGTTTATCTCTTATTTTTTACAAATATTATAAGCTAACAATACACCCTCGATAACAACGTAAAAAGTATAATAATAATTTTGAAATTTTGTGTAATCAAATTTTTTTAGATAGAAGTAGCACCATAAATTTGATATCATCTAACCTAATGTGTTGATTAAATTAGGCTTATAATATTAGATAGAGTAATGCTATATGTACATAATATTGTACATAAGGGTGTACATAACACTCACATTGAGTGGGACCCACCAAAAATTAAAAATTAAATGGACTCCACTCCATGTGAGTGTTATGTACAACTCTATGTACATTTATTATGTACACATAGCATTACTCTATTAGATACTCTAAACACATTGTTTAGACATTTTTTTTTTACATATTCGTCTATATATACACACACATATATATACACATATACTCATATACAAAATTGATATTAAACTTAAATATTTGTAGACATGTTTTCTTTACAAAATAATGTAAAAAAAATCTTTTTACACAATGTTAAATTCAAATATTTTTAGATATGTTTTTCTTCTAAAATTGTTTAGAAAAAGTTGTAAGTGACTTCATATCTTTCAGAAATATATAAACAATTTGAATACTTTTACATATACTAATATAATATTTTAGGTGTTTTTAATATATTAAACATATAAATTTTATATTCTCTTATACAAAATAATGTAAAATTTATATTTCTTATACAAAATAATTTTACATTGTTTGATCCCGAATCTTTAATTTATAATTATTAAATATTTTATATCCTCCTCTTTAATTTATAAATATTTTTTTTCTTCGTCTTTTTAAATAGGATCAATAGTAGTTTCCATTTCCGTCATTGAGTGACTCAAACTCTAGTATCTTTATAATATTGTTAATTTAATATTGATCTCATGCATAGCACGGGGCATACACTAGTTATAAGAGAATTAGTATATCGATATTTGACGAAATATACTTTCGTTGGAGATGTTAGGCAAAAATAGTAATTTATATTTTCCTTGTTCATATGATGCAAACTGTAATTTATATTATATCCCAAAGAACTTTTCAAAAAAATATAAAATCTAAAAAATATATAATAAGGTTATATTCCGTTTACATATAATTCCCGAACATGCCGAGCCTAATTGGCAGGCTCACATACTTCGCGATCCTAGGTGTTAAAATTTCGTGCTTTATTATTTGGCTTTGATAAATTTTAATTTAACTCAAATCCAAAATAAATTAGGTTCGGATTACCATAAATATGTTGATTTATTTATGATCATTTTAGATGTATTATTGTATTTTAATATTATTTCTTATTGTAAGTATTGAATTGTAAATGTATTATAAAAGTTGATAGGTTTTGTATTTCTTATCGGTTTTACATATATAATATCTCAAATTAATCATTTTTTGATGAGCTTCGATTTGACATCTATATTGTATATATAAAATATATAAATTATATTTATCTTTATAATAATAAAAAATGATTTATTAAAATTAATTAGAAAAAAAAATTATTTCTATATTTATGTTTAATGTAGTTATATGTTATATGTTAGAAAAATTATTATAACATAACATATGTAAGTCGCACAAGTAACAACTCATACTAAAATATATAATAATATATATCTTTTATAAAAAGTATTTAAATTTTCATTTACTTTTTCTCATTAATTTTAAATTTTGATAAAAAAATTTAGCAAGTACACATGTAATACACGGGCGTTGTACTAGTATATAGTGATCCTCCTTTTCATATATATATATATAAATAAAGATAAATGAAAGGAACCAATTTTTTTTCATAGTTTATTACTTCATTACTACTAAAAAGTGAAATTAATAGATAATCATATAATTAAAATTATATAATTAATTATTATAAACTCATCATTATTACATATCACATCAACTTTAATTCACTATTCATTCACTACATTACATTAGCGAGCCTCGCCTCACCCATTTGGTTTTGTCTCATTATCACATTTAATTTTGTTTAAGAAATTCTCAGATGTACCATAAACTTGTCTTATTATCACATGTGATATTAATCTGATTATCATTACTTAAATCTTGATTGAGTGTTAGTGATAAAAACAAAATAAAATTAAACTGAGAAGGTGCTGCTAAAAGGACAATTTATTGTGCTTGCAACATTTCCATGTAAAAGTCTGTTGTTTTGGTAATAGACTCAGATTTGCACTAAACTATGTTTTAAAGGTGGTTAGATTAGTTAGAGATGAAGATTCCAAATGGCATCATCACCCTCTCCACAGGCACTATGCACTTTTGTCATCCTCTCCACTGATTTGCATACCCCGCTGCAGTTCCAGTCGAACGAAGCCACACAAAAGTCGCCCACACGCGATTTAAACTCGCAATCTAATGAAGAAAACATGCAGATTTAGGGAGAGTGAACTAAATTGGCGAAAAAAGATGAAGAAGAAACTGATATGTTTGTATATACCATACCAGAAAAAGTGCCACAACACATAGAGTTATCGTCTACATGTTGGACTTCCAATCCAATCAACCATGCTCCTAACGACACATCCTCATTCGCATACCGGTGCAAGATTGCTCTGCCATTTTTTTTTTAAAATATTTTCATTAATTAAATATGTTTGTATAATCATAATCAATATTACATGTTATTTATGTAATATAACAGTTACGAGTTGATGGAAATGTATGCGGCCAAGTCCTTGGAGATTGCGTAGATTTGGCCCGTGGCATGCCTGAAGTATTCGTTCCCTTCTTCTCCAAATTTCCAGTACTCTGGCTCGTGATACTTAACTCCTCTGCCACATTGCATAGTGATGAGATATGCATGACTATTCTTTTATGTGTAGAGCTAAGAAAAGAAAAACTTACTTGCGAGAAAGGACTGGTCCAGACTTCATGCACCCTATATAAACCCGAGGTTTTGATCTGTGCTTTGCTAACATACTCACTAGCGCACCTATAACGTAATTATCGCATAAAAACAAGATGAAAGAATGAATGGTGGATACATATCAATAATAACAGATTTGTACAGGCAAGTTTTAAGTAATGAGATTTTAATCAATTACCCAGATTAACATGAATATCGTCATCGACCTTAACGTAGAAATCTGCATCCCATATAGCAACAGCGGTGGAGAAAAACAAACGGGTCTTAGTGGAAAGCTGATTGTAGGCCTCAAAGTGACCGAGCCTTAGGAAGTCTCTGTGTTGTGCATCCTCAGCATCTATTTGTCTATCCAAGACGACTCCGCCTCTACTCTTCCCTATCACAAACCTTATCACCACTCCCTTTTCCTTCTCCACCTTCCTTAACTGCTCTCCTGCACCGTTTTTTTATTCTTTTTTATCAGTTTACACAAATACAAATGTTAAATCAGGAAACTAATTAAAAACCTTTAAGCATCCATGTTTCTCTAAGGGAGTCTCTTCGTTTCCTGCTGCCAAAACCGGTATTGATTCCTATGACCACAAATGCTTTTTTTCCCACAAGACTTTCATTAGAAGCTCTTTTCCCTTCTGCTGCTCCATAATTAACCATCTTGACAGTCCGCAGCTCAGCCACCTCTGCCTCCATTGTCGATATGCTTCTCTCTATTGATCTGCTCCCACAAGGTTCACCGAGTTTCATAAATTTATTTATTTACTTATTTATACACACATGGACTCTCACAGACTAAGCGAAAGTCTGAGTTTAACTAGAAGATCATATAAGAATTCGGTCGTCGCTTCAATTCATAAACTTACTGGATAGCCTCATGTGTCCTGATGACTTCCCCCATGATATCTCCCGGAACTTGTTCCACCAGTTTCTAATCAAGAAAACAAAAATATAGTTTTGAGATTACTTAGGAATACAATGAACTTGTTCGATTGGACAAGTAACTAAATTTATAGTTACGCGCTTGTCGTGTGTAGCGTCAAGCTTCTCCAATTTTCTGGGGATAAGGTGATGGACATAGTCAGATGGATTTGGCCTTGTCTGCGAGCTAAATAGCGAGCCTGCAAGAAAGCTTGTGATACATAGTGCAACAATGACCTTCCCCGAGACCCATCTCCCTCGCATTTTCTTACCAATGCCGAGCTGCAATATTGACGCCATATATATATATGCACCTCAGTACAGAAATTAGTGTCTTCTCCACCAGCTGTGCATTATTCTAGTAAGGGCTTATAGAATTTTTCTTAGAATAAAAGAGAGAAAGCGCGAACATAACTCATGTAACGAAAAATATGAGGCTAGTGAATTCGGTATCTGAAGCAATAAAATCAATTTTTAAGGGATTATATTTGTGAAATATATTGAAATGGGATTTGAGAATATTTTTGCTTCATTCAGCATTTTTCAGATGATATGCCTTGCTGTTTATTAGGTGATGGGAGGAAAGTTTTGCTTCCAAGAAATGGTAGTTCAATCATGTTATTTTCATGCTCCAACTAACTGTGTATTCCAAAATGCCATGAAACTTTCAAATCCCACTCTTTACATGCACTGCGTTTTCATTTACTTAACAGACAGAGGAAAGTTCTAATTTCAGCATTCACAGATTCGACAAACGTATCCGGCATATTTGGAGGCGTTCGCTGATGAATGAAGACGAATGTCAAGCGGTGATACACCAGAAAATGAATGGGAAAATTCATGATAATCATACTTCACTACGAAAACGTACTCTCGCTTACTAAAATTTGAAAAACAACGGACACTGTGATTTGTTATGTATCAGTTTCTATAAATACTATTGATTATTGCAACAAAAACAAAGCGAGAATATCATCTATCTATCTAAATAAATAAAGGCAGGTGTTCTAAGTTGCTATTAGCTACACTAACTGATATTGCTAATACAGTCCATAAAGACATTCAACTGGTGACTAGACTTTGCTGCTTCTCGAGAGACAGGGACGGATTGCAAGAATACCAACTCGACCAAAAGAGGTAATTGAAGAAGTTGATGAGGCTGAGTGCAGCCAGCAACCAGTAGAAAAGGTCCAACCTGTCCCTGTTGAGGTCATTCTCCCCAAGCCAACCATGTCTTCCTCCACCCGAGCTAACTCTGTTCACCAAAGAAACCAAAAGGGAGCTCAGGTAAAACCCGAACGAATAAGAACAGTAAGTCATGGCTGTTAGGAAAGACTGCATTCCTTGCACGGATTGCTTGTAGAAAAACTCGATGAGCCCCACTGCAGTAAACATCTCCGAGAGGCCGAAAATTAGATACTGAGGGGCTATCCACAGAATGGACAGCTTCGAGGCCGATATCCTGCGCTTGTGCTCGATCAATGCTGCTGTGACCATTGAGAAAGTGGCGATGAAGAGTCCTGTTCCGATCCTCTGGAGAGGAGATATTCCGGGTTCCTTGCGCGTGATCCGCCTCGCGAGGGGAACAAATACAGCCTCGTAAAGTGGGACCACAAAGACTAGCATGATGTAAGGTATGGACTGGAGGGACGCTGGTGGAATACTGAAGCCATGAGCAATACGAGTGTCCATTGAAGTTCCCTGTTGAACTGAGAATGTCTGGAGCTGGGCCAAGATAGTGTTGAAGATGATTGTGCAGGAAAATATCGGTAATAAGGATAACAGTATCTTCACTTGCTCCACTTGTGACACACTGCACAGAGTCCACGACCTCTCCTTCCTCGTCTCGTTGCCGTTTTGGACTTTGACACAGGCCTTATCTAGGAACCTGAAAAATAATAATACTATACAGATGCATTAATCCGTTTTCTTTAATTAATTCATAGATAATTTAAAATGAAAAATACCCACTTGAATTTGCTAGTGTGAACGAGGGTTGTTGTGTTCATGAGTTGGTTGTCGTGGTGAAGCATCTCTGAATCGGATGGGCATGTCTGCTTTCTCTTGGAAATCGCTGCTACAAAAACCTTTCGAAAAAAACCACCATCAACTAACAAAATTAGAGTTCTGCATTGTTAGCTAATTTGTATGCATTTATATACGTAGTTACAACTTACAACAATAGGTAAATGAACCACTACCTGGGCAATTGGAGTGAATATACTCCCACTCGGCCAGCTATTTCTGTAAAAGAAGGATCCAAAAATGAATAAGCATAAGCCGATGAGCACGGCAGCAGCAGAAACACCAAAGCCGAGATCCATTCCAGAATGTGTTTGGATCCACACAAGGAGAGTGAGGGCAACAAGCTCCCCAGTGCAGAATGCGAAATATGCGCAGTTGAAGAAAGTCGAGAGCTTGTTGGGTTGCTTGGCATCAAACTGTTTTGCTCCAAGAGAGATGATATTGGGCTTTAAGCACCCACTCCCCAAGGCCATCAGGTAAAGGGCACCATACAATATCCACGCCTTGTACCCTTTGGCTTCCTCGCATTCAACTCCAACCCCCATGCTGCACGTGGCTGGCTTCAGTTCCCCTACGTGGGCTTGAATTGCAAGTAATACGAGTCCCTGTCAAGAAAAAAATGTCTCGGTTCTTATATGAACAAAATTTAAAAGTACATATTGAAACAAGTGATAAGCTAGCTCACAGTGAACTCCACGAACCCGAAGATGAGGATCGTCCGGAAGCTGCCCAGATAAGAATCAGAGAGGAAGCCACCCAAGAGGGAGAGGAGAAACACGGTACCAACAAAGTTTGTGACAGTGTTTGCCGATTTCGCCAAGGAAAAATGCATCTCGTTGAACACGTATGTTATCAGGTTATTCCCTACAGCAGCTATTCCCATCATCTCAAAGGCTTGAAGCCCTGATTCATGATAACAAACCAGCTCAATTTATCATGATAACCATATTTTATGTATAGATAGATAGATAGATAGAGGAGAGGTGAATTAAGAAGAGGACCTAATACGAATAGAGCTGCCCTCATTCCACCATGTTTAATAGGTGTACAAGGTCTCCCTCTACAGTCAACAGCAGAAAAAACAAATTCTGATCCCCTGATTGTTGTCTCTTCACTATCCATACTAAAACACAAACAAAGATATGTCTTCTCTTTTGATAGACAACACTCCTTTATCATAAAGCTTCTTTACAGTCAGATTTTATTATGAGACACAACACCCAAGTGGAATTTGGTTCATTATTTATAATGTCCTCTGAACCTTATTGCTGTGGTGGGATGGCTGGCCCACCTTCCACAAAAGTTGAGCTTCAATCATCACTGAGATGAAAAGATCAATTACAGTGTTAGCTCAAAAAGATTCAGTTGGAGGCACCACCAATTAATCTGCCTATTTCTGGCTTGGGAGCTATCTATGGTCAAAATATCACAGTCCCCCCAACTCATGGGCCTACCTGCAAGCAACACTGCACTCACAATCCACAACCCTGATTGATTAGTTCTTTATTTAAATCCATGTTTATTAATTGCAGTGTGCCCCTCCACTTGTGCACTTCTTTGAGTGCTTGTGATCATAATAAGCTGGTTGAAAGTATAATCTTCCTGCAATGCCAAAGTTTCAATTTTCTTCCACTGCAAATTTTATAGTCGATAATGATTTATCTCCGCAAGTCTAGAAAGACCTCATACATCATATTACATATCATTTTTTTTTTTACGTAAGTTTTCTTTTGTGTTCTTCTTTAAGGTGGTGAAAAATACCTGAGCAACTAGGTGCATAATGTATCCATCCAGCAGCATATTGGAATTTAATGACTAATCTCCAAGTTTAATGCTTTCTCTGTCTTAGCTATGGAGTGGTTACTACATGCATGATTGCTTCCAAATTTTTCCTATACGTAGAGACATATAAAGCATTTTGAGTATTGTTGCACAAAGTAAGAGTAAACTGAACCCTCCATAACACATATGATGTTCGTAGCGCATATATACTAGGCGCATTTGTTCTTTTTTCTTTCTAGACCAGCTCAGCAGAATGTATCTGCACATATTCTTCAGTTTACTTGATCGCATGATCTGAGTTGCTAACAGTGACTCCTTGGTGTATGTAGATTCTTTTCTACTTGGTAAAGTATAGGTATAACTTATTAGGTAACAATTATGGTTACCGCTAAGTGTTCACCAGCTGCCATTTTAGGCATCATTACTTGCACTTAATTTGTGATCAGTGGACAGACACTACACATTATTGTATTTGTATACTAGAAAGCTCTCGCCTGTGCACGCACAGGCGGGCCCAGTCTAGTCTACTGGTTCTTTTTTTTCCATCATTATTAAATTTAAGACAAGTTCACAAGATTTTAAAACGTTTAATGCAAATAGGCTAAAGATTTTACATGCAGCTACAGAAAAATTATCAAGATTTCACTACAATAAAATAGAAATTTGTTTCTAGCTAATCTTCAAAATCCACTTACAAATAAAGCTGCATAGGATTGGCAATACGGTCATGACCATATGACTAAAAGGTAACATTTAATTCAACAATCATATTTAACTCGAACATATTTAACTCAGAACATGAAGCTGAAGCCAAGTCTAAATTTTCATTTCATATAACTATCAATCTGGAGGGCTCCTCAAATATGTTCAAGTTTTTATGCTAATTAATTGATAATTATTAGACATAATTTTACCTATGGCGCATATTTATCCGCATCTCAAGGGATGGACATCGTTAGTTCAGGTCATTGAAAGAGACCTCATACTTGTTAGCAGGAAGGATTCATCAATCCCTTTAGCTTTTATTTACACTTTTAACTGTTAATTAATTGACACTTACTAGTTTTTATTTTTTTATCTCTTATATGCAACTTTTTTTGTTTTAACTGAAATGACTTGTACTGATACAAGAATTGGGTTTAGTTTGGTCTAATGTTGTCGATCAAAAATATCAATTCGTTTGAGAAAACCTAACAAATTCAGCTTTCAAGAGCTGGATTCTCCATAGCCATCTCTCAATTTCTATGCAAATGGAAACCATATCTCGGCCCGCCAACTCGGCGGACCTCAAATACTGGGCCCGTAACCAGCCTGGGTATATCTAAGGGCCGGTTCATTGAACCACCGGATTTAAAAAATAAAATAAAATAAAATAAAATTGCAACAGTGACCCATCGGAAAACCTGGGCCCGGCCCTGAAATGAGTACAACACAACCCATAAACCAGTCCCGGGCCAGTTCTGGGCCGGGCCAACCCGTGGCCATGTCTAGTTGCGCTACTACATATGAATCCAGAAAAAAGATATACAAAGAGCTAAAAGAGTGTTCAGTGCACATTTTAGAATATGATTAGATTACAAAATACTGAATGAGATTTGTCATATAAAAATCCTTTCATATTTAAGTAACAAGTAACAGGGGTTTGGGGCTTAATATGTTTTCCCATATCCCAATAGGGATGCTTTAAAACATATGCTACTTTTACATCTTTAAATTTATTAATCGACAAATCCCTATCCCAATGTACACTTTGATTTAGCAAAATTTAATCATAAATACTACAAAGAAAATCAATTCTCTCATCCAAAAGAAAAAATAAATATATTTTCACCAGATGCAGCTCAATCCCATATAAAGAATTAAAGACACGTAATTAGACTCAAGAAAGCAATTAAATCCTTCTAACTTTTATATCCACATTAGAGCTAACCTATGCACCTTCCATACCAATTATAAAAATTTTAATTCAAAGTATCTCAATAAATTGCCTAACCGGAAAGTTCCTCATGATGCCGTCAAAATTAAGCGCCTCAGAGCACCTTCGGGCAAAAGCCTTGTATACACTGAAACTTATAAAAACTACACGATGATAAATAACAATTTCATATTAGGATTTATACGGATGCACCATATTAGAATTTATACGTACCTGAAATATAGCTAAATGTTCGGAATATGTAGGAAGAATCTTGGCTTTGTGCTTGTGTGCAAAAGGACAAAAGGCCCTCCAGCAATTAGTGTCTCTTTATTGGCCAAGGCTATGACTTTTCTAGCTGTTATGGTGGCCACCGTCGGCTAAATTGCCAAACTTTAATATTACGTTCCAAATATTATCCACTAATTAAGCCACATGAGAAATATGTATAAATTACACACCAAAATGTCGAAATTTACCTTCAAACCTGCACATCCAACAATCTCTGTCACCACAGGTCCTCAGTAACAACATTTGTATGTCGGGCGACCTGCAATAAATAAGATGTCCTCTATAGATTCCAAATACATTATTCATTACTAAGATGTTTCGAGATTTGAAGAGCCAAATCAATAAACTTAATGTCCTCTTATTATACTACTGCTAATAAGTTCTCAACTGGTTTGCTCATCATGCACATCCTTTTTTTAGGGAATAGATGGAAAGTATTCTCATATCAAATAAGAAAAATAATAGTATGAGAGTTATACTTTATCTCAACACGACGTCTAGGTATGAGTAAACAATGCATGAGAATTTTTCTAACAAGAATATAGGTACTCACCAGTCCCCCCTTTTGTCTTCACACCTCATGTTTCCTGATAATTTCCAATCAACTGCATAAAAAATAATTCATTTCATATTCATATAGTACAATTGGAAAGTGCCTCTTCTGGTCCACCAAATGTACTTATAGAATCAGAGTCTGGTGTACGAAAACAAAATCCAATCTGCTAATTTAACCCCAATCTGCTAATAATCAAACAAATCCTACATTGGGTTAATTAGCGTAATTTCATCCTAAAAAATATATGTACATATAAGATATCTAGATTGAGTTGTCGTCATCAAAGTACAAAATACACAAAACACAAATCAACTCCACTGCAAGTCCAAACAAACAATGAACTTGTGAGAATAGCATAGTTAATAACAGACCCAACCAACTGAAGCTACAATGCAGTGAACATATACACAAATACATAAGACACAATCGGCTTCCACATAATAACACAGCCAACTGCTAAAAGCCCTTTATTCAATCTCCGACTTTAATATCTCGAAAATCTCTAGAATTCACGATCAGGCAAGATCAGAGGAGCCACAAGAGACCAAAGGTAGAGCCCTGCCGTGACCCACTCGGTGCATATGCGGACCCAAACAGAGGTCCAGCCCACGTCAATGAGGTCCGGGTTATCAGAATTACTCGTCCAACCAGACAAAAGCATGGCTGAGTACATGCTTGCTAGAGCAAATATCAGATGGAAGAACGTGTAAGAGTAGCTGACCGGACGCGCTATTATCTCCTTTCCTTTACCTGATTCAAGCTCGTCCGACTCTAAAAGGGGTTTCTTATCACCACCTGCTAGACATAATATTTTTTCACAAAATGTCCAAAAACGAGCTCTTGGGGAGATAAAAATATACTCACTATTTTTGTAAGGCATTTTCTTTTCTTTTTAATTAGACTAAATCTTAGGTATACCTTTTTGGAACTAATTCTGGGTTTCATAAGATATTGAAAAAGTTAGAAGTACCTGCTCTAGGGGAAGATGGAGGGGACAGAAAGGTGGTTGAGGAGCCTGCACGAAGAGCGGAATACAGAACTGAAAGGACTGTAGTAAGCATCCCAAGAACGAGGGTGCTCGTTGTTACGGCTTTGGACTTGTTGTGAAGGGCATTGCAAACGTAATCTCGAGGTTCGCTAGAGAGACCCGTATAACACACGTAAGCGCAATACACGGATATCACAGATGCAGGCAAGAGGCTGCCATTAACCTATTTTAGAAAGAAAAAAAAAAGTAAATAAATAAACAAGTTTCTCCAAAACGAGTTATGCAACTAGTCCCTTGACAAGTTCTAAAGAAATTTCAATTCCAAAATTAACCCGACGTGTAAGCTAAGTTGAAAAGGAAAAATAGAAATAGAAAAAGAACTAAAGAAGGACAAAAAGAAATCAAACTACAGCAAGTTTTATGGATCTTGACTTTTGAGGCCCAAAGGAACATTTAAATCAAGCATGGATGGCTCTCGACTTATGGTTTCGGCTCTACATTATTATGCAGCAGTAGCCTCGTAACTGCTATTCTGAATATTGAGAAGTAAGTATTTTCCTTCTCAGCAAAATGTAAAATAACTTTTTTTTTTTTTTTTTTTTGCAGTCCAATAACATAATTATCATTCAACAAAGGCCACCTCTCCGAACATCCCCGAAGAGAGGAGCTAAAAAGACGGGATACAATCCTTCCAAAAGAAAGGTTCCGTCAACGACATAGCCCTACTAGCTAGACAATGGGCAACAGAATTCAAATTTCTACCTATATAACAACAAGACCCACAGTCTAAAAGAGACAAAAGTGATAAGATGTCCGCCAACACATGATGCAAAGGATCGTTTGGCGAAGAGGCTTAATTGTGAAAATAAATTCGGTAGTTATTAGGGCATCGTCATTTTGGTCTGGCGAGTATGCGAGGTAGCAGTTTCTCTGCATGATTTCTATATTTCAAATGCCGGTTCCATACTTCATTCGTTCCAACAAAAATATCAAATTACCTATTAAAGGTGTCGTTTACTAACATTGCCACATTGTAATATAGTCATCTGGGACTAAATTGCTATTCAACTAGTATATGCATTTCTATTATGATCGTTGACAAAAGAAAAATAAAAAATGCATTCATTTTTACCTTGGGATGTAAAGCAACGACAGCAAAAAGGAATGCAAGAATCATGGTCATCACAAGGAAAAACACATTGAGTCCACAGTCATGCCCGGACGGATTGAACCATATGAACAGTAACCCAGAAAACGTAAATGTTGCAATATAACATGCTACTGATACAGCAAGCAAGGCGATGTACCTGAAAAATAGAATGGAAAAGAATGCAAAAAGCACATTAACCCATGAAAAAAATAAGGAAAGAGTATATACTTGGAACCTACCACTTTTGCTCATCTTTAGCAACCCATGAATCGTTCCATGAATGTGTGGCATCTAACAGTATTATGACTTGGACCAACAAGAACAACCCAGCACCAAATGTTGAAAGTACTCCTACATGGACAATAAACTCATCATGGTTAATCAAGACAAACTAAATTACCGAACTTCATGTCAATAACTCACTAATAAAATAAGGTTTTGTTCCACCATATTGGCACTAAGAGTGCATAATGCATTAAACCAGAAACTCAAAAGGAAACTGTTGCTCAATTGAAGCATCCGTGCCGCAGACAATAGAACCAGGATCAATTACGCTGAATGCTTCCCAAGTTCAAAGCAAAAGATAAATAATCTCATCCTCAAATATATTAAGATAGTATAAATGGCTATCACAAGAACCACTATGTAAGACAGCATATTTATATACCAGATAAGATGTATTAGTTTCTTTAACAGTTTCTACCAGAAAGCCAAAACAAAAGTAACAATGTCTACATATATCTGAAAAGTTATGACCAAAATGACTCACCATACACTGTTATGATGACATTGGGTAGGAAAAACATGAGGATGACTAGCAAAGCCCAAACGAGCATCTTAACAACCCATCCACCATGATGCCAAGAATCACGTCTGTCATTTTGATCTTTGATCCCAATCATTATAACTGCTAATACTCCGAAAAACAAGAAGTTCCCCAAGCTGACACGAAGAACAGCCTGGATCTGGAACCATTCATTCGACACGTTATCTGAAGTATTTATCCCTATGATACATATCCAGAAAGAAGTCTCAGCTTTTGTGAAACCATCTTCAGTCCAAGAAGTTAATTCACAAATATAGCAATCTATCACACATAAAAGTCAGTTATCACTAAATTTCCTCCATTACTTCAATACATCATCTTCCAAGAATTTCCAAGGATGAAGAGGCAAAAAGACCAGGAAAAGAAACCCATAAAACAGTTATATTCGCCATCTGCAAGCCCATTGACTCTACCTCATCCAACAATAGGCACCGAGAATATTTGTTCCAACTAAAAATTACATTGAAATATTCAAGATTAATCAACAGATACCAAGCAGATCATAAAAGAAAACAACAGGTCAGTAACAATAAAACGAGCCCACTTCAGAACAACCCAAAAAGCATCTAAAAAACGAACAATCGTACATCCTTAAGTCCATAAATTTTACCCAACAACGATTTTTTTTTTTTTAATTTTTTGGCTTGTGAGTATTTAATTAGCTTACAAGAGAAGTGTTTGAGAAGAGGCGCAGCGACCTCTCTGAGAATCCAAGAAACAATTAGAGAAAAACCAAAGAGGGCGCAGTAAGCGATTCTAGCAGAGCGTTTTGTGATGCCAGATGCCACCGATGAACAGAGCCCGCACGTCATCGACGCACAGCACGATGCCAGACACGACATCTCTCTCTCTCTCTCTCTCTCTCTCTCTCTCTCTCTCTACGTGATGGTGGGAAATGGGAAGGAGGTACTATTGAGAAGTGGAAGTATATTTGGTTAATTGGTGAACGATGAAGATGATGATAGGCAGTGTCGACACTGGAGTATTCTCAGCTCAACATATTTTGTTGATGTCTCCTCTGTTGCCCGTGGCCCGCCCGACGGGTAAAATCGGCCCCTCACCGAGTTTTTTTTTTATTACGCACTCCTATATATTTTTTGGTTTGTTTATCCTTATATTTATTAGTATATTAATAAACTAGTAATACTTCATGTGTAATAATGTTAAATATTTGTCATTTAATTTTTATTTTTATTTTTTTTTATGAATAGTTATAGGATATTCACGCTGAGGAGAGACTTAATTCACAAAAAATATTATTTGATCCATTAATATTTTTTTATGTAAAAAATGTTTCATGTACATTCACAAATCTTAATATCATTGTCAAATTTAAAAAAAATATAAAATAAATAAATATGGAAGAAGAAGAAGAAGAAAAAAAAAAAGACGATAAAGACAAAATCCAACAAAATAAATAAGTCCATCATAAGTAATTACTAATTAACAAACCGCGGCCAAGGAGCCCTTCGTGAAAGATACGAGTTGCGCGGGAGGGCTAGGGTCACGTAGACGTAGTAGAATGAAAGTGAAGAGATTTAAAATTTGAACGGCGCAAGTTAGAAGTTAGAAGTAAAATAAGAAATACTAAATTGGTGAACAAGGTACTATTGAGAAGTGGAAGTATATTTGGTTAATTGGTGAACGATGAAGATGATGATAGGCAGTGCCGACACTGGAATATTCTCAGTTCGTCCCCATATTTTGTTGATGCCTCCTCTGTCTAAGTGTTCACGGTTCGATTTTAACCGGATAAATCCATCATTCCGGACCGCGAATTGATTAAATGGTCGGTTAAAAAAGCTTTAAAAAAATTGTTGGTTAATTTTTTTAATAATCTAGAATAATCGGTCCGATTAACAGATTACCTACGGCCAATCGCCGGTTTAACAGGACCAGACCGGTAAATATAAAAAAACTATACAAATATATATATACATATATACATTCAGTCATTCACTATGACCGACAAATATAATACATTACTTTCACTTTTTGGCATTTTGTTGACTTAATTTTTAAGACAATATAATTTTTCACTTTTTTCCACCTTGCTTGAGTTCAGTTTGCACTATTTAATCTTCTATCATTTTGTATTTTTATGTTTATGGGACGAAATGTGTATTTATATGCTTATGGGACGTATTGTGTATTTTTATTTCATTATTGTTGTTTTTCCTTAATTTTTAGCCCAAAGTAGCCTTTTCCCTTTTTTTATTAATAACATCAAATACTTTTATATTGGTAACCAATAAGGAATCAAAATCTGAATAAATATCTTATTTTTTCCAAACAATTTGGAAATCCGAATGTAAATTCGAATAAATCATGATTTTAGAAATCGTGATTTCCAAACAATTTAGAAATCCGTATAAATCTCCAAGGAAAATAATGATTTGTATATATCATCATTTTAGAAATTTGTTCAAAATTTTCTTTGCATGAATCTGAATCATCATTCATTCAGCCTATTATTATATTATTAAGTTGTTTGAAACCGCCTGCTAAGATTTGTATATATCAGATTTCTAAAATCATGATTTGTATATATCATCTTTTCACCAATTAGACTTTTTTCTTCATTATCGATTTTAAAAGAAAAACGAATTTTATATACCTTATCGGTTTTGATAATACAATGTTATAGTCATTATCATTATTTATTTTAAAAGATAGTGTTTGTCATTTATTTGATTTCAAAAGATTAAAAATTTTCATAGTTTATGTCTCTTTTTATTTATGCATTTACACAAATTAATTTAAAAACTCTAATAAAGATTGGCAACAAAATTTGTTATATATTGATTCAAACCAACTAATTAATAAAAGAGTCTATCAATCACGAAATTAAAAAATAACACACAATCACTACATTTCAAAGATTAAGGATTTTTAGATAAACATTCATTTATATTGTCATGACGATAAACAAGAGTGAGTGTCAATCTTAGACATTTGATGATTTCAACTGCTATATTTCCAATGGTTTTTTTTATTGTAGGAATTTCCGTTGGAATATGCAAATTCCGTTGGAATTTTTATTTCCACCCCGTTGAAAAATCCACCGTTGGAATCGTCAAAATCCAATGGAAATTCCAAATGAAAAATTCATTCCAACTGAATATTTTTGTTGGATTTTTCGTTGGAATCCATTGAAAATTTCCAACGGAAAGAATTGTATTGAAATATCCGTTGGAATTGTCGTTGGAATAATTTCTTTTGGAGTAAATTTCCATTGGAATTTTATCATTTTATTGTAGTGTGCCCAATAATCAAACTAATAATGTTGTTTACAATTAGGTTTTTAATAACATATTTCATACCCGAACATTTTATGAGCATTTTCCGCCCAAAGCATTAATTACCTACTATAGATGAAAATAATATAAAATGATCTAAATAAAAAATAAATCATTAATTGCATAATTTTCATATAACTCAGTTTTCGGTTTGTGTTTGTTTTACTAAATTCTTGGTTTTCTTTAATTACGTTGATAGTGGTTTTGTAGGCAAAGATTATGTAAATAATTATATGTAGCCAATTTTGGAACGCTTATTTATCTTTTTTTTTTCAGAACGATAGAGGTAACATAGAAGAGCACTGAAGTGCAAAAGAAACAAATTACAAGACCCCAAAAGGGTAATCTAAGGCCCAAACATAGTAATGAGACAGGGGCTAACGACCCAAACCAAAAACACGCCTAAAACAACCAGGAATAGAAGACTGAGAGGACACGCACATGGCGGCCTAGAGAACCCCACAAACTAAGAAAAAATGAAAATGAAAAACAGAGCCACTGCACAATGTCTAGCCTGTATTCATCTCCGAAACAAAAACGAACAAACACTAACTAATACGGAAACAAGCAATCAACACAAAAAAAACTAAAACAAAGGATATAACATGGCCCTTCCCCAGCCGAAAACCACATCGAGCACAACAACGGCAAAGTCTCAGCCTAGGATCCCGACCCAGAAACTGCGAGAGACGCCTAACTAAGTCAAGAGCCAACAGACCTACCCTTCGTCCAGACGAACAACTCCA